TTCCGAGTTTCCGAGCGTTTTCAGAGTGACCTTCGGATTCTGCCACCCCCCGACAAATGGACGTCAACGATTCCTTACATTCGTACACCTTATAATTTTAAATATTTTCCTGTTTCTTTAAATCTATGATCCCAATATAGGTACCATTGCCCCGCCACTCTATCTCGAAAAATCTATAAACAATACTCGGATCACAACACAAGAATATAGTTTTTAAATATTATCATAATTTGAACCATTCAGTCCGTTAAACTTCTAGTTTATTTAAGTTACATTTTTATTAAATTCAAGTGACTGCAACCCATTGACACCTGCAACCAACTTCAAATAAAGAAGGCTATACACTTCTGAACATACTGAACATACAATAAAGAAGGTCTAAAAGTCTGTAGTTATACTGGTCTCTACACCCTACCATTTAGCGGGTGAAAAAATGTAAGATGGTAATGAATTCTTTTATTCCAAGGCGTCTCAAATTATACTAAAGAGAAAAGTCAGCTATAAAAGTATGATTCTGCGATATTGTTAAAAAGTTAAAGTTACAGCCTATATACGTTCCACTGCAGGGCACATGCCTTCTCTCATTTCTGAGAGGGTTTTAGGGCAATGAAATGTTCGCCGCGCTGCCGGTGCGGTGTTGGTGAACTTCATATGCCTTCAATTTTTTTTTCTTATTTCACAAGCATGCAGGTTTCCTGACGATGGTATATTTCACCGCCGAGCACGTGGAAATCAGCACTTAAAATTTCATTGGTGCCGGCGGGAATCGAACCCGGATTGCTTGCGTACTGTGAAAATTACGACGAGCGCTAACCATCTGAGCTACCACGGCTCTTATATTTTGGCATTTGTCAACAGGAAGCTGGCGGTGTTTCACCCCCGTGCCTTGGAAAGCATGTAAAACCATTGGTCCTGCGCCTGATCACTTTCCCATCGCATCAGATAGCCATCCCATTGGACTATGACAGTGAGCTAATAGAGTGTGCACCGGTGCTTACTCATACACTGAGACACTGTAATCCTGTCCTATGTGGATGGTTAGTCTCCAGCCAGTGATCTAAATTCAATCTGGAGGACATTATTATTATATCAGCATAGACTGTGATTCAGTTTTCCCAAATATATATTTTTATAGCAAGCTACCAATCTCATGAGAGAACATCGTAAATTAATAGATTATTTGCGAGACTTAAGAAATCATCAAATGCATTTAATGGATGTAGAAAATTCTGTCTAATCATTACTATGTATAGGCGCGCTCGTAAAGAGCGCTGACCACCCGCGTAGAAAGTATAGCTAGATGACACAGTGTTATGACACAAAATAATAAAGATGAACCACCGCGAACTATACTATGTGAAAACTAAGCTCAGTGAACTAAGCTATGCTAACCTGGAAAATCGTTGCACGTCCACCGAAAAATAAGTTAAAACAAACAACACTAAGCGAATGGCGCCGGAGGGGTAAGGAAAGGGGGTGAGAGGCGTTTAGCTTAGTTTCGGATCGGCCTACACAATTAAGTTAGTTTGGCTATTTTAACTAGCTTAGCTGGCATAGTTCGGCATATTCCTCTCAACTGAGTTTCTAATAATTAAAAATAGTAAACTTAGCCATGTAATTGAACTCTAGTTTGTTGTAAAACTTATTGTGCAACTAACTTAACAGAAAACCGTATAAAAATCAACGTAATGAATTGTTTTATTTCAAAATTTATCAAAAGCTGTTTTACCGAGAGATAGTAGGTACACGTCAGTCGAAATTGGACTTACCGATTCGGATATGCCCTCGTGAGTAAACGATATTGTTTACAGTTCATTATCGATCACCATAGTCATTACTTTTTGTTTTCTATCTCAATGCAAGGTGATACTCATAATCGAAAAGTTAGCTCGTGAAAAAATAATTTATAATAAGATAACGCATCCACGCATCAAATCATCTTTACCAAATGAATGCCATTGGAGCAGAAGGACTATTAATAGTTTAACTTTATGGTTATCAGCAAAGAGGAATTTGACTAAAATCAGCAAGTATGATTTGACGCGTATGATACGAAAGCAACAAGTGGTCTAAACATAGATAGAAAAACAGTTTGTAAAACTTTACAGTGAAAAAAACTTTTCAATAACTTCTTATCATAAGACTAAATTATATGTACTAAGTTATATGGAGTTGTCTACCGATTATGTTATTCTAGAAATATTTTTTTGCAAACAGATTAGTCCCGGTCAACCACTTTAGATATATAAGGTGACTAAGACTTTGTAAAGGACCACTAGGGGCTCAACCTTACAAGGTTGCAAGGTTGAGCCCCTAGTAGGATGGTATCACGACCGCAAAGAAGTAGAGTTTACTCTGCGTTTCACCGGCTAAGTGCAGGTGGCCGGAAGCCCAAATCCCCCCTCCCCCATTGACATGGTAGCGGAATTAAATAAGACACTATCCCAACACTATGCAGCACCTACGGTTATGGAGAATCATTCGCTGAGAATTCACGCCCAAGCTACCTGCCCGTTCTTTAATATCACCCGCATTGTTCTCTGGTTTCTTTCTGATTCCTTCGGCTCCTGATTCATTATTTTTTGCTTGTTTTAACCACTGAAGTATTCCCTTCTTAATCCCGGTCACAATGTCGTCTTTCAAACTATATTTTTTTAACAAACAATTTCATTCGACTCTAGTCAGTTTTGAAATTACACAGTTAAAAAATTTTGGGATTTTACTTTGTTATTCTCCATACTAGGATTTTCTCCTGTATCGTGGAGGTGTTTCGCGCACATAATTAAAAATTTGTACACGGAAATATCCAAATAACAATTAGTCGTAAGCCATAAAAACACTTGTTCAGCGCGGTATTCAAACCCCCTAAAGCAACCAAAGGCTTGGGCGCTGTCAGTCCGTGTTATCAGAAATAATTTATGGTTGACTTGCATTTACTAAAAAATAAATAAAACAAGAGTGTTGATATAGTTCAATAGTTCAAGTTTAATACTTAAATGAAAGTTACAAGTTACTGTAGAGTGACTGTGTAAAATAAAATAATTGTTAAATGAAATACGCGATAACGTCGGACGTGACTATTTCCAGATGCTGCCGATCCCGATCGCTGTTAATGTTCCGCGAGCTCTACTTAAATGCATAGCCACTTACTTCACGAACAAATCACACATCTAAACGATGACAAAAAAAAATAAGATATAGATAACTACTTTTTGACTGAAAACTTGGCCAATGCTTTTTAATTATAAGAAGTGAACTATTGGCCTAACTTGATTTTTTTTCCATTGTTGCATACAATGGAAAAAAAATCAAGCTACTATTATAAAAAAAAAACGTAATAAAATTGTATTAAATTATACCGGCACAACTTTACTAAATGATTTTTTGTTTTACTCTACGAAATACATGTTTCCATGACAAATTATACTTAATTAAATTCATTGTGTTATTGCACTGACTGAACTGAACAGAGTTTAATGTGTATTAATATACCTTAACCGAAGGTGCTGATATTACCTGATAGGAGCTTGCGTGTTTTTAGCGAAATTAATATAAGTCATAGTGTTTTACTCTAGACCTAGTTTTAGCCGGAAGCAACACGTTTAACCAACTGCAATCAGCTGCGCATAAGTGTTTTGAGTGAGCCATCTAAGGGTGTAACCGAATAAATAAATAAAAACGCTTCCAGTTATTGGATCATTTGCTACTTACCTTTTTGACGATAGGAACACCTATACTTTGACATCTCGTCAGTGAAACATATCTTAACCATTCATTCCGTTAAACCATGCACACTATTTACACTGTAAGTGGTCTGTATGTACCTTAACAAAACTCATATTAGAATCTATACAAATAAATAAAATTGAAGTGTCCGTTTGTAATATTAAAATAACAGCTTTTTACTAAATGCATATGAAAGTATATACGGTACTAATAACAAAAAAAATTTAAAATTTTTGTCTGTCTGTCTATCTGTCTGTCTGTCTGTCTGTTTGTTCCGGCTACTCTCCGAAACGGGTGGACCGATTTTGACGAGACTTTCACTGGCAGATAGCTGACGTTATAAGGAGTAACTTAGGATACTTTTATTTTAGAAAAATAATTAGGGTTCCGTGAAAAAAATTAAAATCGTAGTAAATTCCACGCGGGCGAAGTCGCGAGGGACAGCTAGTTTTAAATAGAATTCGTAATTGGATTATGATTTCTAATATTTACGCGAACAATACACATTATATGAAACTAAGTTTACGGATTTTATCGCGTTTAATTTAACTTTTTGATTCCCGGGATATAATAAATTAACGTACGTGTGGCAGCGTCAGGGAATCCATCATCTCATTTCGACCAGTGTAGGAAAAAAGCGATTATATAGGAAAGATTCGAAAGATCTGATTGAAGCAGTGTAATCATTTTGTTTTCGCCATACGAATAATACTCAGACCAGTGACGAGGAACGTTGATTTTGCGAGATGGGTACTGCGATCACCAATTTACCTAACAAGCGTGGCGATAATGACTGATAGGAGTTTTAACTATAAAGCTCAGTGTCTAATGGCGCGTCTCCACCAAAGTTTTGTTGCCAACACAACAGTTGCCAACCCGTGTAGTCAACAAATATTTCTGTAATCACCTAGTTTTAGCAACAAAACTTGAAACAATGTCGGGAATCGTGTTTCCATTTTCGGCGGCAACATCAAAGGAATACGCTTGTTGCAAACATTTGTTCCCTCGGTGGAGACGCTTCTTGGAACATCTTGAAACATTTTCGGAAACAAATGTTGGCAACTTTTGTTGATTTGTCAACAGTTGGAAACATAAATGTTGTCAACATTTTTGGTAGAGACGCGGCTTTACAATGGACTTTTACAGGCTGAGGATGAAGAAATTATTTTTTAAATTATTTATTGTTCTAGGTGTATTCTTCATGAATGTAGTCTAACTTAATATTACAATGTTCATCTGTTGCGGTAACTTTGATCCATTTCTTTCTTCCACAGAAGTTTAAGTGAAGAAGAGAAACTACCATTCGTGAAAGAAGCGGAGAAGTTACGAACACAACACAAAAGGGAATACCCCGATTACAAATACCAACCTCGACGTCGCAAACCACCCCCCAATACGTCAGCGACGGCAAGACTCAAGAGGGAACCTTCTCCTGAACGAGCCCAGATAGACTTTTCGCGGATAGAAGTTGATGGAGCTCTATTGGCGGACGGGCCACCAGATGGTGCTGAATTGGATCAATATCTAAAACCAACCACAATACCAGACTATCACGAAATGCAGCCCCGTTATCCTACTCATAGCCTTACGCATCACGCACCTGCTCTCTATCCTCCGGTGCCATCGCATTTGCATCCACCTTGCGCAGAATGGCAACACTACGCGGGACATCCTTAAAATGAGTGATCGAACTTTACTAGTGTTTTTCAAACATGTGAGTAACATTTTAGGTCACAGCCAAGTGGCTGTAGGGATTGATTGTAAATATACACATTTTGTTTGATAGCGAAGCGGGCTTAGCTATATCCAATAGGACGCACGTGCGTATATTCAAGAGCAATGTAAACATTTATTAGAAAATAAAATGTTCTTAACATAATTGTAAGCATACTTTGATTGAATTATTTAAATATTTCTGTTTTAAATATAACGTATGCTATACTAGACTTATTTTCATCATATTTCTGAAAATAAAAAATCATTAAGCAACAAGTATGTATTCCTCTAATGTTTCACAACAACATTTTATCCATTAAAATAAATACCTACTGAAGGAAATAAATACAACGATCTGCTTATTGTTACATATTACATGAAATAACTTAATTTTTCCTTTTTCGCGCCGTCTCAATGAGTGTGGTATGAATTTAAATAAATTGACTATTTATAAGATATTTTCGTTAATCAATCATTTTTATATATTATAAAATACATCGCTTGGATTGTAAAATTCATAATATGATGAAGCAATAGAGTAATTAAGATAAATTCTAGAATATAAAGACAGTCCTCAGGTTCCAAAGCTTATAATAATAATACGCATCATTAATGTTAAGTAAATTAAAATTATAAATAGATATGTTTAAGTTATAATTGTGATTAAGTAGTGTTTAAAATATAATGTAAATGTTACTTTTTAAATAAAACGTTTCAAATGATATTATGCATTCCATTATTCCAACCTTTTTGGGAAAGTTGATTGTCTATTACATGCTATTTTAATGGTTTTCTAGGTCACATCTATATTTAAAGATATTTGGAACGAGCGTTAAAAAGTAAAAAAAAAAATATATATACAAAAAAGTTTACATATCGTTTTCTATGCAACTTTCATCAGATAAATTTTGTTACTCGTTTAGAGAAATGAAATGAAGTTTCTTTACTTCATCTCAATTTTCTACCGACTTCAGAAAGGAGGAGGTGCTCAATTCGCTTGTGTTTTTTTTAAACTGGTTATAACGTACTATTTCTTAGTTGAACCGATTTCGATATTTCTTTTATTGAAAGCTTGTGTTTCTCATGTGTTCCCATATAAATTGATCAAGGTCTGACCAATAGTTTTTGAATTATCTTTGATAATTTTTAAAGTTATACTTCTTTTGGAGCGTTTCGGAAAAATGATGAGAGTGAATTTTTAGGACGCGCGCGCATACCGACACCTAAAAACGACACCATGAAGTTTGCGCGCGCACACTGACACCTAAAAGCGACAACGTCAGTGGGTAATTGTCTCTCAACTTTCTGTTTTGTTACGTTAAAGAAGTATAACTTCTTACGTGCGTACATAAGTACACACAAATTTTTGGAACGAAGTGCCTTATCGCACGCTACAAATTTGGCGGATGGGGGCTAGGCGAGAAAAAGTGTAAGATTTTACCGTCATGACCCCCTTTCTATAATGCGAGCGAAATGGAATAATATCCATCTCCCTCGCACTTTTCCTTATTTTGCCATGAAAGAAATTTTATTTTAAATGACGCTTCATTTTAATAGACACTAGTAATTCATTTATTTGTATTTGTTAATCAACAATATAATACGTTTATCAATAATAATATACTACGAAAGGAGCTTCGTTCCAATGGAGTGTTCAACGACACTCACGCATGTATTTATTATATTGAAGTTGGTTGCACAAAATTTTTTATTTTAAATAATCATATTACAACAGAATATTTCACATCTAATGATGCCGGTTGTGTGGAAGTACGATTAATAAGATTTAATATTACATATATTTGGACAGTCACTGAAAACAATCTCTATAATATCCAAGGATTCTTCGAAATACATGTAGGCATGTCGTGGTCGGGATGATAGGCGGCGACCGCCACCCGTCCGGTCGCTTCCGGCCGGGTCGAACTCGCACTATACAAAGCCTACCCTTGTTCTAAAGCTCTATCTTATCACTCTCACATTTTTCGCGACCGTTGCTAATGAGGGCAATGAACATATCGGTGACCTGTGTGATTATGTGGTTTTAAGATAATTTATCTGTATTCAATAAGGTTTATTAATCGCTTCTCAGTGTTTATGTGTTTGGCTACAGACAAGATACATAAATAGCATATTAACACGGTAACAATTGATGATGACTTTGTTCATGAGGAATAAAGTTAATAACTTTATCAAATAATCCCACATTGATATCATAAACTGCGATATAAACACTTGTAGATATAAGCTCAGTAAAAATATTAAGAATTTTTAACGTAAAATACATGCTCAGACTTGACGACTTCCAGCCTCCCGAACAAGCCGGTTCCCGAAAGGGCTTTAGCACCATAGACCACATACATACCCTTCGGCAAATTGTACAGAAGTCCGAAGAGTACAATTTGCCACTATGTCTGGCGTATGTGGACTATGAGAAAGCCTTTGACTCCGTCGAAATTTGGGCGGTGCTGCAGTCCCTTCAGCGGTGCCAAGTTGACTGTCGGTATATCGAAGTGCTGAAGTGTTTGTACAGTAGAGCTACGATGGCTATCCGAGTACAGAACCAGAGTACGAAACCTATCCAATTGCAGAGAGGTGTAAGACAGGGTGACGTTATATCCCCGAAACTCTTCACCGCTGCATTGGAAGACGTTTTCAAACTTCTGGACTGGAAAGGATACGGTATTAACATCAATGGCGAGTACATCACTCACCTTCGATTTGTCGACGATATAGTCCTTATAGCAGAATCGCTGGAGGACCTAGGCACCATGCTCAATGACTTCAATAGTGTTTCCTAACGGATAGGTCTTAAGATGAACATGGACAAAACAAAGATCATGTTTAATGTCCATGTCACACCTATGCTGGTAGTTGTTGGGAGCACTAAGCTCGAAGTTGTTGACGAGTATGTTTAGCTGGGACAAATAGTCCGACTAGGTAAGTCCAACTTCGACCGAGAGGTCAATCGACGGATTCAACTCGGCTGGGCAGCGTTCGGGAAACTACGACACTTGTTCTCGTCAGACATACCTCAAAACCTTAAAACGAAATTGTACAACCAGTGCGTGTTGCCAGTGATGAATTACGGATCTGAGACGTGGTCCTTCAGTGCTGGCCGTATGAGGAAGCGCAAGGTCGTTCAGCGAGCTATGGAGAGGGCTATGCTCGGGGTTTCTCTGCGTGATAAACTTAGAAATGAGTATATCCGCAGTAGGACTAGAGTAACCGACATAGCCCAACGGATTAGTAAGATGAAGAGGCAGTGGGCCGGCCATATAGCTCGAAGAACCGACAACCGATGGGGAAGAAAGGTTCTCGAGTGGCAGCCTCGTACCGGTAGGCGAAGTGTAGGGCGACCCCCCACGAGATGGAGTGACGACCTGGTAAGACATGCAGGAAGTCGATGGATGCAGGTGGCTCAGGACCGTGCTTTGTGGCATTCCTTGGGGGAGGCCTATGTTCAGCAGTGGGCTTATGAAAGGCTGTAATGATGACGATGATGACATGCTCAATAAACGAATTTGCATTTGTAGTCGCTTGCTCTACGTTGAAATTTTAAGGACGTAAAATTTTCTGATATTCTTAAAGCACATTTTATTTTATTTATGCCCTTTCTTCCTTCTATTAGTAGTGATTATAATATTAATGGAATTTTCATTATAAATATGTAATTTTTCTAATATTTCTTAAAGTTCTCGTGGGAAGCACAAAAGATTTAAAAGTAACAAATACAATATTTAAGTCCATGTTATGACAAGGTATCTTTTTATTTATAAATACAGCAAACATAATTATTAGTAATATATTTTATTAAAATTTTGATAGATTTCTATAGTACCTACTCTCATCTAGTACACAATTATTTACACATAATTAGGTACAATGACATAAGTTAAGTCTACTTATGAATTTATATACGTGTATGTGTAGACATTTGTATTTATTTTATGCTTGTATGTGTTAGGAATATAATAATAAAGTGCATACCTTATTATATATGTGACACCTTATTAAACAAAACATAAATAAATAGGATAATATAAATTTGGTAAAATAAACACTTAAAAATTTTATATAACCTCATAGAACGGAAATACTTACCCAGACTGACGACGAGCAGCAGTATGACAGGTGCGAGATGTGTATTGCGATCTTCAAGTCCAAAACCTTTAAGTCAAACCTCTGCACAATGGGAGCCCCAAGCCTGCAGTAAATTTTTACGAGCTGATGATGATAAAAAAGATAAAGTTTAAAAAATAGTGGTTATGGCGACGCAGGATATGCGTAACCAGAATTTTAAAACGGGACAGTCCATCATAATAGTAATTCCTCTAAGAATATTACAAAATATATAAATACTGCATACTGCAGAATAAATTCTGCTCAATAGACGTAGGCACCGTTCTTTTGCGACTGATGGCGTAAAAATCATCAGTATGAACCTTCTTTTCTTTCTTTAATGCACAACAAAATCGGGGCAGACCAATGGCAGACCCAAAACCGTCCTGAACCATTGTATTATATATATTGAAATATTTTTGTTTCATTCCCCCACAAACTGTTCGTGTGGAATATTTCACAGTAGTGACTGACCATAAAGAAAGTGAGAGCGAGAGTTTACTACTTTTCAAAAAATATTATTCTGTTGTTGAGGTAAGTCCTTGTTATAGAAGTTAGGTCATACGGGACACCACATCAAAAGCTCTTCTGAGAGCATGCATTAAACATAAGATCCGTTTGAAATCTGACTGTAAACTTCAAATAAAAGCTTTTTGGAGTGAGCGTCAAGCAAACCATCAACTTTATCCGGTGTCACAGTTGCCAGTATTTTTTTTATATGATAGGGTGACAAACGAGCACACATTCCACCTGATGGTAAGTGGTTGCTGTGGCCCATAGACACTTACATTTATCCTCGTTTACGAATCAAAATGCAGATGCGTTGTCACCCGTGAGGA